GATGTTGGGTTCCCCTGGGTTTTGTCATGCCCTCCCGACAGCAGGGCTGTCAGGATAGCCAGCCATCATCCCATATCCTCCAGCTGCACAGCTATCCTGCCACACTAAAGGATTTAATGAGAGTCCTTGTCTAAATATTACCCCAAGTAATGCTAACAGGGAGGGGTGCCATTTACTGTTCGGCTTTAATGGTTACTCTTGAGAGAAAAGCAAATATAAGATGAGACATTAACCTCATGCTGCTAATTCATTATGTTCTTGATCATACACCCAGTGCTTATTGAAAAATAAAGGGACTGGAAAGATGTATTATGAGATGGGAAAAGTGTTTATTTTTCTAAAAGATGATGTCATTGTTTTTTATTGCTTTCCAACCTTTTTCATCATTCTTTGTTGTTTATCCTGTTTTGTTTGTCTTGACAGATGTGGCCATAATTTTGTGCCTCTTTAGTGTTTTTGCCCAGTGTTTTACTCAGGTCAGGTGAATAAATCTGACTTCTTGCAGCAGGATTTTGGAACACACTGAAATAATTGCAACTTGTTTCCTACCTTGTGTCAACTATTTCACAATGAGACCTTTGCTATGAGTTTTAAAAAATTCTTCCTGGTGAGAAACCAAGGTCATTTATTGTTTTCTCCACCTTTCTACTTTAATGAGCCCTCTCTGTGCCTTCATAAAGTGCATTTAACTTGTTTATAGTTTCCCACAGTAGCGACCCATACTTTAATGGCATTCATTTCATATGATATTATTTGATATACCAACAAATATCCTTCATACCTGTAAGACGCAGTAAGTGTGGAATGAAATGGCCCCGAATAAAATTTAGTACAATCAATTGCCCTCAGACCTTATCTATTGCATAGTTTTAGTCCTCCAATAATTGTATAAATATGGAACATAAAGACATAGGAACAGCACACATATCAGTAAAAAAGATATAGAGAAGTTTAAAGCAGGGTTGGGTTATAAAACAATATCCACAGCTTCCAGCACCTCAATGGGGATTTTTTAATTGATCATTAAAAAATGAAGAGCATTGATCAATTGCAAACCATCAAACATATGATTGTTCACCTAAATTAACAGGTGAGGCAGGGAGAACATTAACCAGAGGAAGAGTCCAGAGGCTCACTGTAATTCTTCAGGAGCAGCAGGGATCTGCAGGTGAGATAATCTGTGAAAGGATATATTGGGAGAAAGCAGAAAAACGTTTGAATACAGATGGCTTACATGGGGTAGAAAACTAACATTGAGCATAGTGTTGGAAGAATTATGCTGTGGGGACACATTCCATAGTAGGAATTTCAATATCAATACATCATTAACAACAATAGAATGGCTCAGATCAAATCAGATTCATGTGTTAGAATGTCATAGTCAAGGTCTGAACTGAATTGCAATTTAGAGTGGAACATTTTAAATAACTGATATTCACTTTTGTTATCCCTTAAACTTAACTAAATTTGAGTTATTTTGAAATAAATAAAGGACAAAAACTTTATTCTACATGGAAACCTTAGAACTGTGACTGCAATGAAGGGTATTCTACAGAGCATTGACACAGGTCCTTAAAACGAACGGATGCCACACATGTCATATTTTGTCTGTAAAATCATCAAATAAACTTTTTTTTCTATTTAAAGCTGTCCTTATGTAACAAGCTTTTTTTTTTTTTTTTTTTAACAAGGCATCTGAAACTAAATAAGGTTAACCTGAAAACCTTCTGATGAATTGTAGAACTAAACTGATGTCCTGGAAGTTGCTCTGCAGCTCCTGACATTTCAGCAGAGATTTTTGTATCTCCACTTTGGTTCTAACAGTACTCATCTAACTTCTTAGTATCACTAATTACATCTTTTCATCTGTATTGCAGTTAGAAACACTCAAACTGATGCTTGCATCATATCCACTGTGTAGAAACAATGCTTACAGTGCTGCCCAACGTGAAACGTTAGCCTCACATTAGGCAATTTCTTCTGGAGCAGAATGGCCATAACTTCACTCACACTACAACATCTTCCTCCAGAAAAACAACCAAGGACAGTTTGTTGAAACATGAGACATCAATAATTAAATAAACACTAGAGTGAAAGATGATTTCCATCCCTGCTGTCCCCATAAAGCCAAATATGGTTACGGCAAACATGTTTAAGGAGCTTGATGTTCAATTAGGCTCGGATCCAGTAAGACAGAAGATTTGTCTGCAATTTAGACATTTTGTTTCCGGTTGATATTTATGACTTTCATTCAGTACCTCCACATGTTGTGCTGTGGATATGCTGAATGATAGGCGTACACAGTGCAACAGGTGTAAGGATGTTACAACTGTCCTCCTTTATCTAGCCAAATTAAATAAAACATCAGTATGAGGTATGACATCCTGACCAAGTCATTAGCTTGTAGACCTTTTAAAGATGTTTACCAAAAAGAGCTAAAGGGACATCAGCATTTGTTTATTTAGAATAACTGAAACCAGCTAAAACAACTATGTAGTCACATTTGTTAGTATCTGCAGTATTGTGTAAATCTTTAACATCTATCCAGCATAAATCAGAACATGAAAAAGCAACATAACTGGGTATCAAACATTATAAATTGGTTTGATCCTTATGACTCTTGTTTATATAAAACAATTGGTAAATACTTGAGCTGTTACAGACATCCATACATTACCACAACTAAAGGGGGGGGGGGGGGTAAACAGGTAAATATGTAAGAAATGTACAACTTTTTAACAAACATAGTTGATTATTTAAATAAGCAAGGAAATGTAGAACCATAATAAAATGTTAATCTACCAGTCGGTGCTAGCTTTGTAAAAATGTTTTGTTATATTGAGACGGACAGATTCATCTTGAATGCAACTAAAAATTATGTCTGTCAAGTAAAGGCATATAGCATGTTCCTAGAGTAAAATAGTGTTTCCAAAAAAAATGAATCTGGGTCAAGGGGTAATGGCCCAGAAATGATGACCAAGAATTCAAGCAAGACAGACAGTGGAATAATTAAAAAGACTTTATCCAAACAGAAACCAAAAGGATCTGCAGTTGTGGCGGCTGCAGAGGCTAGGACGTCTGAGGCAGGAATGTCTGGTTTGACAGATCTGTCCATGCCCAGACAACAAGGATGATTCTAGCCTTTTCACAAGACTGAGAGGACGCTGCCAGAGAGTTCCAGACGCAGAAGCCCTGAAGGCTGCAGAGCTGACAGAAGATCAGACCAGAGCTGACGAAGGAACACCGGATAATACACAGGGCAAAAATTAAGAGGCAGATCCAGTTTCAATACACAGAACAATTGCACAGGAGTCCGAAGACAGGCAGGCAAACAGATCACAGGGGCAGTCCAAATACAGAAACAGGCCAGGATCAGACCATCAGAATACTATAGAAATGCTTGAGAACTTTCAACACCAAAGGCTCAAGAATAATCTGGTACTGATGGCTGGGAAACGGGCAGCTTAAAAAGGAAACCAGGTGGATCCAATAAGTGACATGGACAGGGCAGAGCTAGACAAGTAAATGAAATGGGCAATCAATCCAGCCATCAGTGCCAAAATCATGACACAAGGCCTATTCTGTTTTTTTTGTTTTTTAATTTATTTTTATTCTTTTGGCCTTTATTTTGTTATTTTTTAAGTATGTAGACAGAAAAGTGTGTTACAAGAGAGGGAAGAGACATTAAGCATAGGTCAGAAGGACCGAAACTCAAACCTGCGAAAGCTAGTGTATTGGTCATACGCTCTACCTCCACACCATAGTAGGCCCCCAAAGTCTGTTCTTTTCTTTGGGGCATTAAACTCTTTAAGTTGTGTGAAGATATTTGGCACCAAGATGTTAGGGTGGTTTGTACTTGTTTGTCCAGTATTGGCAGATGCTTGACTTGATTGTGATGAGGGGGATTTGGTTTCACCTACACCTTTGCTCTTCAAAGCATTCCTGTTACACTTTTGGTTTGAGTGAGAATGCAGTATCCTGAGGACACATCCATTAGGGATATCTGTTAGGAGAAAGGGTCTGAATGGTCTTTCACTTGTCAATATGAAATCAGACAAAAGAGAGCCGTACCTTTTAAATATGTAATGATAAGGTTTCCTTAATAGATTTATATAATTTATGACTAAGCTAAAAAAAAAAGTGCTTAAATGACAGACGAAAGTATTTGAATAAGTAGTAAATTAGCTATAATCAGCCATCTGCATGGGTGGTAGAAGGTGGCCAACAGGGGCCAGTGTTCCTGGAGAACTGGTCCAGGCACCTGTTATGACCCCAGTTTTTTTTATATATATTTTATATATGTTGATATACTTGTTGTTTTGAACATATAACACATGATTTCAATGCCTTGGCACATTATTTTACGTATTTTGAGTATAAAATTCTTAAAAGAAGTTTAATAATCTAACACAATCTGCTCTTGCTAAGTCTATCTTACCTCTTATCTCAATACAAGATCAAAATGATTATTTTTTTACCTAGAGCCTGGTATGATAAACACCTTTTATTATGTTTAATTTATACAATTCAATTTAAAAATAATAAAACAATTCCAGTCAACTAAACTTAAGTCATATTAAGATAGGATCACAGATTATACCTCCATCAGATCAGGAATATTCAACTATTGCTTAATATACTTTATTTAATTGCTTTTGTTATTATATTATTTCTGTGCCCCCATGAAACACACCAGCCCCACGCTTGACCTTCTGGTAAATTTCGTGTAGAACCTCTTGCCATTTGTCTAACAGCGGAAAGGGGCCATAAAACCCCTTTCTTCTGATGTTTAACTTTTCTTTTCTTTTTTTTTCAAACTGAAAAATCTTTTATCCTTTTTAACTTTTTATTGCACTTTTCATAGTTGTATCGGAATCTTTGTGTCGTGCAATGCATGCAGGTGATCCAGTGCAGTGAACAGATTTTTTTGGTGGATTTATTCTCCTCTATGCGCGTGTTTACCTGAGAGGCGCATCTGTCCTTCCTCCTACTGCTGACGTCGCAGCAGGCAGAGGTTTGTCCGCACAGACTTAGACCAGACTGCTGAATATATATGTAAGGAGGAGGAGGAGCTGTCAAAGAAATTGGGGCTTTCTCAGAAAAGGGAAACTTTTCCCTCTAACCGAGCCGGGAATTCGTTTAATTTAAAGTGTTTTTATTTCTTTCTCCGGTCGGATTATCGCGTTGTGTTGGCATGGAATGACGCTGCGCTCTCCAAACACGATGGCAGCGCGTTTTCTGACATGGATCACCCTCACCTCTCTGCTCTGTCTGGGCGTTCTGGCGGAAAAGAAAGGTAAGGAAAATAAGTTACAACAGGCAAAACGCCATCGGTGCTTTCGCTTTCCCAATCTAACATTTTCCTAAATGGGAGAGAAAAGGAGCAGTAGTTTGGTGACGGAGCAGCGCAGAAACTTGATCCTCTCTGGGAGGAAAGTTTCTCACAGTCCCACTGTTCACTGCGCTCTGCTTAAAGCCTTAGAAAAGACTGGAATGAACCTGAGGCTTAAGTGAAAGTACAATACTGAGATGAGAACAGCTGAGGTTGTGATTAATTGGTTAATTGAATAATTAAGGAAATAAACGTATTATGTTTTATAATACTCTGATAATGATGATGGTGATGGGAGAGGATGTTAGTAATGTGGATTTTTTTCCACTCATAACCTCTAGAGAAAAGCTGCGTTTCTAAAAATTTAGTAGCAAAAACAATTAACTTTAGCTTGTCTTTTAGTTTGCAATAGTTTTTCAGTACAAAAACTAACATTTGAAAGTATTTTGTCTAAAACTTGTTCTTCAATGTTGCCTCTTATCATAATGTGTAAATTTAACTGCTTTACTTTGCTTATATATTATGCATTTATATTATCACTATGAGCTATCTTATGTGTTCTCTACAGGAACAAATTATTAGAGTAGAAATTTATCCCAATAAAGAGGCTGTGGTGGAGGCAGTGGCGGTTCTAGACCAAATGTACCAGGGGTCCAGATGGGGGCCAGCGTGTTTTCATGGGGGGACAGAAAAGCATGAAATAAAAAACAGGGCCAGGGATTCAAATATATTAAGATAGCTGCATGAAGTGACATTTCTATTCAATTAGGTTTAATTATAATTCAATTTCTTATTAGGTCAATATACATTCATAATTTAGGAAGTTAACATATTTTTGACATAATTTGAGTGAAAATTACAGTTTTCTATAAAATCTGAATTAGAACTCAAGAAAAACTGATAAATTCAGCTGTAAAAATTTGAGCAATTTGTTTTGAAGAAAACATTTAGCAGAAGAAAACTGGGATCCTATCTCAATACCAGTGAAGCTATCACCTTATTGCTTTTAAATAATTAGAAAAAACAGAATTTATAAAAAAAAAAAAAAATGAAATAGATCCAAAGGACCTTGCAGTGACTATATCTGTTCCAACCCACATCACCATTAGAATATCTTTAATAATTATTTCTTCAGTACAGGGGCCATAACAAGGGCCAGGGCATGATCTACAGGGGCACTGGCCCCTGTTAGCCCCTGTCTAGAACCACCCATGGGTGGAGGTAATAACTCCTTATTTATTAGGCACTATTATACGGTGTTTTGTAAGGGACATAACTATTGGAATTGCCTTGTTTTTCAATATTACAGTTTAGTCATATACATTATAAATAATCTGAAATATCATATTTTTGGTCAGCCTTACCTGTGTTAAACTTTAGAACACTGAAGAGGAAGTAAATAATTAAAGTTAACATTTAGGGAATTGAAGGTGTTTATGTTCTTAGGGGTGAAGAGAAATAATATTGACGGACCCTTTGCTGTTTTTATAAATAACCATTAAGGCTGTTGCGTCAATGTATGCTTCATTTGGAAATGTCTCTCAAACTTTATATTTTAAATCTCTCATCACAAACTCTGTGACGTCCAGGTGACTGTGATGGAGTCAAAAACGACAAAAATAAACTGTTATTTGTAGAAAAGTTTTTATCCTGACAAAGTTCCACCTAATCCCTCCTGTTCTGTTGCTTTTAATTTCTGTGTTTTTTAGGGGCATCTGCTAAAACCATAAAAGCTGCATTAGCAAAACCCTTTTGAAATTGTGAAGCCCAATTTCTGTAATTTTGCCTGCATGTTAAAATGTGTCTTCACTGCTACATAATCCTCATGTATTTAGTTTGTTAATAACCTGGCTTTAGGTTTTTTTGACTGAAGTCTCTGTCCAACACTCCAGTGACAGTGCTTCAGAGGGAGGAGTAAGCCACTCAGTGTCTTGACCTGTTTTAATCTTAACAGTGAGAGGAACACTTTCCGAAAACGGCTGAAATAAATATAATTCTGTGTTACTGGTGAAGATTCTCAGTCATCCAGGTCATAGCCATTCCAAAAAAGTAAAAAAAAAACAATCCACTGGACCTTGTTTCCAAGTCTTGGAAATAAAGTAAAGTGAAGCATTTTTTTTTTTTTTTTTTTTTTTTTTTTTTTTACATTTTTGGAATAATTCTGCGTTTACAAAACATTTTTCTTTGGAGAAAACACACCTTTAGAATAACTGTTAAATATCTATGTTATAAAACTAAAAACATATGAGAACGTTTGCATCTGTTACACACAGTACATGTCATGAAATAATGGATTTTGTTAAACTCCTTGGGGTGGGCAATGCGTCTATGGTCTGTTTTGCAAAAGACAGTAGGCAACCGTTAAGCTCTTAGCAGCTGCTTGGGATGTAAAGAGGTCCTTATGCTAACTGCACTACCTCTATAAAGCATAATACCTCCTGGTCCTAGCTCCTCCCAACCACCGGCACTATTTGGATAGAGCTTATTTAGAGGATTGCTGAAGCATTTCCGCTGTCACTTAAGTGTCCTTACTGTTTAAGGTATTCAGATTTAGCCTGCGTTTGTGCGCGTGCATGTTTTTCATTGAATATACTGCCACTTTGTGGCATGGTGGAGAAATTAACATTGGAGCAAGAGTCATCTGCAATCAGATTAAAACATTGTCACGTAGGGGTGTAAAGCAAAACTAAACAAAACAATCCACATTCGGTTGATCTTTGCACTGGCAGTGACCGGCACATCCTAAACTACTTTCCCACTGAAAACACAGGTTTTTCAAAACCAGGTTTTCAGTAAGTTTTGGCTCCTTTACCATTTCACCAAAAGGCCGAGTCTCACCCCCCCTTCTGGCAAGCTGCATGGCCACTCTCCCCCACCACTCCTTTTAATTGTTTTTAAATGCTTAAATTGCATAGCACCTATCTGTCTGAGCTCCTGTCTATCCATGCCCAGTCCAGAGCACTGGTTGTGGAGTGGTCTGCCCCTCAGCATCTGCTTTGCCCCGACTCATAGCTGTTTTTTTTTTTTGTTTTTTTTTTATGAAACCATTTCTTGTTCAAACGAAAGTTTTTATTGTGCCTTGTTTTTATTGTATTCCTTGCTTTTATATGTTTGCTATATAAATAAAGTTGATCTTGACCACTGCATGTCTGATGACGGCATCACGCTGGGTGAGAATTGATGATGTCGACAGTGCGAAGGAAATCAGGGAAGTGCAATAGCCAGAGCAAAGTTGGTATTCTTTATTATTTTGTTTTGGCTTGTTACACTGGCGCAGTATGTTGACGTCTGTACGTTGCGTTCAATGCTGTCACGTAAATTAACATGTCAACCCAGGTCTGGTGTTCCCATAGCAAGCTGATCAGAGCTGAGGCGATTTTAACGTGGGTCTCTTGCGAGGCGTTTGACCCAGTTAGACACTCGTCAGTGAGCTGTTTTCACTGCCACTGTTGTTCCCGGGTCTAAACAGGTCGCCCAGGCTTAGGATTAGCGTTAGTGGTTAATTACGATTTACTTGCCGACTTGTATGAGTTGTTAAAACAAAACAATAAAACTTTTTCAGCGACGTTTTATGTCTTTGATGGAACTTTAAACTTATTTTGTTTAAAATCTTTTTATAATTTAGATAAATCTAAATGATCAAAATTGATATAGCTGGTAAATTTGCGAAAACTAATTTCCGAATTACTTATTAGATAAAATGTATGCAGGAATTTAAATTTGATTCATTAGGTTTAGTCTAACAGTTTGTCTTATCAGTAGTAGTTTTATTTCTGTTCCCTGGTGGCCCTGAAGTAATTGAACTATTCATGGGCCTCATGAAGCCCAGATGTGAGAGGAGAAAGTGACCAACAGTAACACATTTTACTCCCTAAAGACTTTAATTTCCTGATCTCATGAATCATAAAAGACCAAACACTTATTGCTTCTCTGGTTTGTTCTTCCCCATAAGTAGACGACTTTTAGTGACTGCAGTGAGCATGAGTATCCAATTTTTCCTTTCTGGACTGACCAATTATAACCAATACATTTCGTATGTCTTTATTTATGTGCTTGAGAACCATGTTTTTTTTTTTCTAAATGCTTCTTTTGCCAAAAAGACAGTCCTTAAATACTTGTGGGAAACTGAACATATCAGACAGCTTACATCTCATGAAGCAACACATCTCCTACCGTGAATAAAAGCTTAAGAATGTTATTAAGACCAGATAAGATTAATAATGAGCAGCTGTAATGACAAACATGTTGTTCTATTCGGTTTATTACAGCTTTGGGGCAGGACAGATGTTTCGATGTGGCAGATTGTGTTTTTGACGCAGTGTCCAGCTTGATTTGGACAAGATTTCCACCTCCTCAATGTGGCATGTTGTAAATCTGGATATGGTTAACTAACTGACAACAGAACAAATATTAGTGTATTAAAATGGGAGCAGTTAAAATGTGGCCCAGTGTATTTTTTTGGCTTGGTGCCTTGCAGTAAATTAAATGTTTACTCAATAATTATCATACTTATCCAAATATAAGGACTAAAGGCTAATAGCATTATAGATTATGTTCTATATTTTAGTTGAGCAAAAATAGCTGAAGGCATGGAAGGGATTGATTTGGAGTTTAATTTTAAATCAGAGTTTTATTTTGCAACTTGCATATAGTGAGCTCAAATTTGCTAGCAGCACAGTCCCACATACTTAAACAGAGGCTCTAAAATATCTTAAACAGAAAGGTTCTAAGGCAAAACCCAATCACACACTTCTTTGTAAAGTTAAGTTAGATCCACTTGTGCATAATTGCTAAAAGCTTGTGTGTTTCACAAATGTGCTGTTTCTTTTCATCACATCACATCACAAATAATAGAATAACAGGACATTTTTTTAAACAGCAACAGAGTGGCTGGTGTGACCAGCTATTGTGGCCCTCACTTTGCCATGTATCATCAGTCACAACAAAGCTGTGATCCGACCGAT